TTTGATAATGATCTTTATACATAATAAAGACTTTTAAGTTGTTGACATAACATATTTATTTTGTACTCAATAGCTTAGTTTTAGATTTGCAATTACTTCATACACAATTTTGATGCCAATAATTGTATCTTTTATCATATTGCATTTCCAATTCTCAAATTTTGATTATAATATATTCGTAAGAAATTTGAGAGCCGGATATATGTAATATGAATAAGTACACAATTTAGGGTTTAGAAATTGCATCGGATGTAATTAGAAATACATGACTAATATGTTGAGTATGAAATAAATTTACTATCTCATTAAATTAGAAGTGCTAATTACATTAAGGACTATTTTCAAATTAAAATATTTTGTAGGGATGACTTTATCCAAAAATATTTTACAGGGACTAAAAACAAAAATTTCTTATTTTATAGGGTATAAAAACATATTTAAACCTATTTTTATTATATTATATAATACAAATGATTAAAACAAAACATATCGTTAGGACTTATTATATTACACTAACATTATTTATGATTTTATTATCATTGAATACATTTAATTTAGAAAGAGAGATATTTATTTTTCATTAGAATATTGTTTTAATTTTTTATTTTTTCATTTCATTTATAATAATACTTTCAATGAATATATATATACTCGGAGGTGACTTTCGACAAATCCTTCCGGTTTTACCCAGAGGTGCTACGATCAATTCCTCACATTTGTGGTCGAAGTGTAAAGTTTTTACGTTGACCAGCAATATGAGCCTGCATTCATCCACGTCTTCTTGCACAGATAGGGACACAAACTTTTTCTGATTGGATAATCAAAAGTGAAATTTGCACTAAATAGGACTAAAACATAATTATTTTCCTAATGTAAGATTTAAACTTTTTTTATTCCCTAAATAGGACTTAATAATGACCTTGTGGGAGGAATAATGTCGAGTAATGATGGACATTTACTTGAATAATGACTACATTGAGAAATAAAAACATATGGTCCTATATTGGGAAAGTCATTATGTTTTAGTCCTATTTAGGTAAATTACTCTAATCAAAATGGGTGATGGAAAGCTAGGTCAGGTGATGGATGAGATTGGTGCTGTTGAGATTCCGCTTGAATTCTTAATTCTTGATACAAGTTCCCTATGGAGAGTATAATGGACTTCACTTATCTGAATATATTAGAGAATATGAAAAATTATTCTTTTTTTTGAGTATAGAGCAATATTGGCACCAACTCTCGAATTAGTTGAAATGATAAATGAATTTGTTCTGTCTCTCATTCTTGGTGATGAGAAGGAGTACTTGGGTTCTGATTCTTCGTGCCAAGCAGAAGCAGATGTAGGTGTTGATGGCGATTGGATAACAGTTGAGTTTTTGAACAAAATCAAATGTTCGGGAATCCCAAATCACAAAATAGTCTTGAAAACAGGGGAACCGATTATGCTATTGAGGAACATTAACCAAACATCTGGATTGTGTGATGAGACAAGATTAATCGTTCAAGAGTTGCGAAATAATTTTGCCGGTGCAATTGTGGTTTCAGAAAATCGAGTCGCGGAAACAGTTTACATCCATAGAATGAATTTGGTACCATCTGATCCAGGGCTACCCTTGAAGTTCCAAAGAAGACAATTCTCGATCGCCTTATGTTTTGCTATGACTATCAACAAAAGTCAAGGTCAAACATTGTCATTTGTGGGATTAGTTTTAACCAAGTCAGTGTTCACACATGGTTAACTATATGTTGCTGTTTCAGGAGTGAAGACGAAGACAAGATTAAAAATATTAGTTCTAGATGACAATGGAAACCCTTGCAACCATACCAAAAATGTTGTATATCCTGAAGTCTTTCAGAAAATTTGGTATTAAAATAAACATTGTTAACTCTACATTCTATTCCTAAAATATTATTTATTTTACTTTGGCCTTTTTCATTTGTAGTATTAAAAATCATGTGAGCAATATATTTTTCTTTATTCCGAAAAAAAAATTCATTTAAATAATTCAGAATCGACATAAATTTCTTTCGACCCCGTGCATGGCACGGGTCAGAATACTAGTTATTTTTTATAGACAGAACCTTATATAAAAATTGTTAGATCAAAATTAAGTTAATGTTTTGCATTTCAAAATACATAGTGTGTTACAATAATGAAAAATGTTATGAAAATAATAATTATTTTAGTGAGAAAGCGAGAGGTTAGAATGTGAAAAGTTTATAAATTGTACTCCCTCCATCTTAAAATTAACTTCTCACTTTTCTTTTCGGATCATCCTAAAATTAACTTCTCACTTTCTAAAAAAAAGCAAAATTTCCTTATCAAAGACACAAATACACTTACAATTAAATCTTCAACCTCCAACCACTACCAAACCACAATTAATCAATAACCCGCCCCTCCCTCTTATCTATCACTGATCATCTCACCTCCTCTACCATTTGCACTTCCCCAAGAATTTCAGATCTAATCTACATCCTAATTCACCCCTCTCTCGAGAACCATACCCTCTCTCCCTCTCTATTTCAGTTATTGATTCCTTGGAAATTTTTCCTTGCGGTGCTCCATATACTACTCAGTGTACTTCTTGAGACTTTATACAGCTAACTTATTGATAATGCCTCTCTGAAGTGTGTAATCTCCAGTGACTATTTGTTTTGAATGCTTCAGGAGTTCATCAATTATTTGTTGTTTGATAGTGTTAGAGAGCCTTTTGTACTTTGCTTGGTGGTTTGGTAACCCTTCTCGTTGCAGGTATGTATAAGGGGGAGAGGGAGTAGCCATGGTTGGAGACAAAAAGGATGCTGAAAGTATCAGTAGAAGAAAAAAAGAGATTGAGCAAAGATATTAGAAGGGCTACTGAAAGCAGCAGTAGAAGAAAGGAGGGGCAGTGGCCATATATAGTTCTAAGAATGGAAAGTTTCATCTATTTATAGATGAAGATTGGAGGAACTTTTTAAATTTTGGTAGAAACTTTTTGGAGGGAACTGTAAATAATTACTCCTCTGATTAAAAAAATATTGGAGGGGAGTGTAAAAAAATTCCCTTGCAGTGTAATGATTAATGAATAGTCATTTTTTCCCATCCTTACAATATAATCGTACTCCCTTTATTTCTTTAGATTGTCTACAGTTGTTAATTCATTTACCCTATACTTTGTAATGGAAGGGGCATTTATGGAAAGTCAATTCACATTTACTCTCCCTTAAAAATGAGCCTTGGTCAAAATGAGAAATTAATATTAGGATGGAGAGAGTAGTAAAAGAATGATTATTGAATACAAAATTTAATATATACATGTGGCATGACATGTGGTGTGACGTGTCAATAAAAAACACGCGTGGCATGCCATGTGTCACATGAAACATATGTGGCATGCATAGGTTATATATACTAATATTTTAACCCAGTACAATGCACGCGGTGAAACGAAATATTTGTTGAGTCAAGCTAGCTAGGGGTACACCAAAATGGTGTACTCCATTTGTACACTATTAACCAGAACCATTGATTTTTTTATTTGGTTTTTTTATTTTTTTCCACACTTGAGATTGTGTGGTGTACATTTTAGGTATACATTAATTTCCCATTTGTGTACATTTTTATTTCATTTCTCTTAAAAATAAACAATCATTATAAACTTTATTTTTTCTTCTTATTACTTATTCTTATTATAATCAGATCAGACCAAATCAGATCAGACCAAATCAGATCAGAAATAACTTTAATTATAATTGTAATCAGATCAGATCAGATCAAGCGAACAAAATGCAGCCTAGGTCCACCCCTGCTTTATGTCTAATGACGTATTCTAATGTCTATTAGATGGACAACACAATAATAATGACTATAAATGTAAATTGTGATTGCGACGAAAGATCACATATGTAGACTATGGTTGTCGTAGAAGGCGACTGGAATTAACAAACGACACATCATGAGCGACTTCTTGAATTGTGTATGATAAGAAATGTATATGATCATTGTGTAATTATACTTTTATCTCTCAAATTATAAAAAAAATTATGGAAAAATTCACAAGATTACTCCCAGAAATTACAAATTTTACATAAATACTCCCAAATTTGTTTATTTACACAGTTACTCCCACAATCATCTGTGTTCCTCGGGTGTGTCTTTTTAAACGGGGTTCTTCATCTTTTTTTATTGAATTCAAATTAAATTAATATAAACATACTTGATACTAAACATTAAAAAGATTTAGAAAGTTTGAAATCCGTTTTTTTTAAAAGTGATGGGAAATAAGGGCAATGATTAGGCTAACTAAGACGTGAGAATGACGATGGAGAGAATAAGTTGAGGTGAATTTGGTATATAAGAGTGAAAAAAATATATGTCTGCATTTTAACTTTTAACTTATTGTCCAAAAAACACATCTAAGTAACACTAGTGATCACTACCAAATTTGAGAATAATGATGTAAATAAAAGTAAAATGTGGGAGCAATACTGTAAATAAACAAATTTGGGAGTATTTATGTAAAATCTGTAATTTATGGGAGTATTCTTGTCAATTTTTCCAAAAATTATTTGTGAGAAGGTACTCAAAAAAGATCATCAAAGTAATATTTGAATATAGAGAATTAGATAGAGAGGTCCTCTATTATAAAGAATTAATTATAAAATTTACTCTATATATGGGGTGTAAAGTGGGGTTAAAGGTGGGGTGCATTAAGCATTTCTCATATCTATAATATTTTGGGAAATGATAAACATTTGAAATAGGTTCGTTTGAACTTTCAACCAAATAAGAAAGTCAAAAGCAATTGCTTTATTCTGCTCGCTCTGGTCACAAGCAAAAAAAGGCCTCTTCGCCAAACTCCAAACCACCCAAAAACAGAGACAACTTAAGATATTTATTAAACGACTCGGGTAGTTCATGTGGTCAATACAAATATAAAATATTTTTTATGAGCTTGTTAATAGATTACAAAAAAGAGTATGACATGTTAATTAGTACAAACAAAATATTATTATGAGACATCTAGGCCCTAGTTGGCCACAATATTAAAGTTTAGAAAAAATGCTAGGGGTACACCTTTTGGTGTATCCCATATGTCCTCGCCACCTCCTTGTCCACATAAATTGGCAAGAAATTCAAAAAAATCAAATAAAAATGAGTGGTAGAGAAGGGAGTGATTTACATTTAGGGTACACCTTTGGTGTACCACTATACCCCTAACATTGCTCTAAAGTTTAACATTACACCATCCTAGAATGATCTTTTTAATTCGGTTTACGGAGTTTGGCTGAAATTATTTTCAATTCAATTTAAGTGATTATAGGTGTAAAATTAAAAACTAAAAATTACTGTATATGCAAAGTATTTTAAAACTACATCAAAAGTTCTACAAATCAAGAGCTAACATGACTATATTATTTTATTAAATAACTAATGAAAATAGGTAAAGAAAGTGATCAAAATTTGACTATATGAATAGTAACTGAAAATATTATTTTAGAATGGATGGAGTAGTATTTTGAAAATATTGTTTTCAAAATTAATTTACATTATTAATTCACAAATTATATAATTTGATTGATTCAAAATGGATTTTGCTACAAATATCTAATGTGTGTCTCTGAGATAGTGGTGTACACTTAAGGGGCTGTTTGGCAACTTCTGAATGGGTAAGTGCTGAACCAGTAAGAGGTCTGAACCATTAAGTGCTGAACCAGTAAGAGGTCTGAACCATTAAGAGCTAGTATATTGCTTAACTATTCAGAGGCAAATGTCTGATCAATTCAGATAAGAGGTCTTAACCATTCAGACTCTGTATAATACTTAACCATTCAGAGGCAAATCTCTTAACCATTCAGACATCTAAACCATTAAGAGGCTGAAACAAACAGTCTGAACCATTAAGTGCTGAACCATTCAGACATCTGAACCATTAAGAGGCTGAAACAAACAG